AGAGAGAGAGCGAGAGAGAGAGAGAGAGCGAGAGAGAGAGAGAGAGAGAGAGAGAGAGAGAGAGAGAGAGAGAGAGAGCTGGGTTAGGACAAGAGCTCACCGTTACTCCAACCACATAATGCACAGCTGACGGTCAAATAAAACGCAACCAGACCGTTATAAAGGAATTACTTGAAGTCGAAGACAAGATGTTTGGCAAAAGAATTTGGGGGTGAAAAAAGGAAAGTGTGGACCGATAACATCAAGGCATAAGACTGGCCTCAGTATGAAATAAAGTAGAAGTACGCTAACCTCTGAGCCAAAAATTTCAGCTTCAATGCCAGGTGCCGCGTGATCAAGCATTTCTATCGTAAGCAATCCCAGAAACGAAATTGGTAAGGAAGTACTTTCATCAAAGTGCCATGAAACTGGCAAAGGTGCCACGCGATGCATATCATATCAGTATCACTAAGCCTCTTCGTGTATAAAAATAAATACATTATAATATAATATCCGCTATCCGCTTAAGAAATGTCATTGATATTTACTTATCGTAAACTATTTCGTCCATCAAGCTATCTCTAGGTTTACTACCCCTCTCTTATTTCTGTATGGCTGTCTGTTTTACTTTTTTTTTCACACCAACACACAAAGATGGCCTTCGTGTCGATAGGGTACACGTAGAGATCTACTCGCTTTCACATACAAACAAATCGTTCAACCTTATAGATCTGTATTATGGCATGAATCTCCTCTACTCACCACAGCATCCATGCACCAGGAATGACACTGCGCTTCACAAAGACTTTTGACCGCGTCTCTCCCTCCCCTGTACGCTAAGATCTCAGCTGAGCCAGGCTGGACGAGCATCAAAAGCAGGACAAGGGAGAAAAGGGTTTTGAACACGAAGTCAAGCACTATAGACCTCTGCGCTTGCTTTCCTGGAATTGTTCGCAACAAGTGTGCAGTCCAGCTAGAATTCCATAAAGGCAGATGACACAGTCTCGAGGCGCAAACTGAGCATGATAATCCTGAAGACTTCACATATGCTATCCTAGATTTCGCTTTCAGCAAGTGTTGTGGAGATGTTTCAGCATTCTTACTACATGCTTTCAGGGATGTCTTTCTTGTGGTCTTGTCGCCTTGGTTTTCCATCTCGGAAACAAAAGTTACCGTAAGGCAAAGAACCTACACGATAGAGACACCACCGGCTTCCAGAGACAAAACAGTCGTACACAATGGGCAATGAGGAAAAGCAGATTTCACATTGAGATAATAATATTGTAACCTTGAATATATTCGGCGGTCGCACTTATAATAGGCTCGAGATTTTATCTTTTCTCCAGTAGCCTATCTACTATCTGGTTCTGTGACGCAATTAGGCATATGAATAAAAAGGCAAACGAATACGACACTCATGATGCTCTGTCGGGTTAGAAAAATAGTAACAAATCGATCCTGAAGCGGAATGCGTGCACAACAAGAGTCGGTGTCAACTCCAAAGAAATGGACCTTTGTCTACGAGAATAAGCGTTGTTATTCTGTAGGCGTAAAATGAATGTTATCTTATCTTGTAGTAAGCCTCTCTGAAACCTAAGAGCTAAGCCTGAAAACAATGTTTTCAGTACTATTTGAAACAGCGTCGAAATGTTAATTTAGCACCCCTCGACTCTCTTCTTTTTTCGATTTGTTTTCACACAGGTTTCAAATTCCTTGAAAAGCAGGCTCCGTCAACTGAAAAAACTGCACAACAAAAAAACCCTCAGAATTCAACATGTTATTCTTTCTTTACGAAAAACTCGTTATTCTGCCTTGAACGAAACACACTACTTTCATAGTATTATAATCATCCTCTAAGTATGCAATGTGGCACACAGATTGACGTCCATCTACTGATCTTTGAGCTCCTGAACCGGACACAGGAAATAGAAGTAGTGAGATAAAAGTGGTTGGTGCTAGCTAGGCAAGGCGCAGTTCGACACTCAAACTACTGAAAAGAGAGATAAGAATTCGTTCCTGTCTCCAGGTGACAGAATTCACACGCGTCTGCCTGGCGCTTCTGACTTTCTTTTGACCAATCAAATTCACAGTAAACGTAGCCATTCATAATGTTGCATTCCGCACTCTAAAAGTAGAAAGTGTGGCAATCCAACACCACTATAACTAGTATTAAGTTGCTCATCTTAAAGACTTGTACAATTTAGCGATTCGGAGCTTATGAAAACCCTGTTTTGAGAAACATGATGGTCGAGGGTTGTTATAATATTATGCTTAAAACGTAAGTGGGGGGGGGGGGGGGGGGGGCTTTACAGTATTCAAAAGACGTGAGTTCGATTCCCAAGTGAGAATGATAATAATAATTTATAGAGACACTCGGTCTTTCAGCTGGGCGCATCCTGTTGAGATTAATTGTGATATAACAGAGACAAAACAACCAGTCCACTTTATATTTATTTATCTAATACGGTTCAGTAACATTAACAACCAGTCCACTTTATAAATTTATTTATTTAATACGGTTCAATATATTGTATGCAGTTTGTGTTGATTGGAGAGTTAAATAATGCACTTGCATTCACTTTCAAGCCGGAAAATCACAATTATCTTATTAAAGTCTGCTCTTGATAATACAGACCTTGGCTGAGACTGAAACCACGCTAGGCCAACCTACATAGAGAGTAAATAGGTTATCCATTCATGACGTCCAACAGTTTGTTTGTTTGTTTTTGTTGTTGTTGTTGTTGTTTTTTGGTGGGGGTTGTTGTTGTTGTTGTTGTTTTTTATAGGATAAGAGTAAGAGTCTAATATTTATTAGAAACAGTTTGTAGGGATTATGGGTTTAAGCACCTAACTACGCACACATTGGTCATCGAAGCAGAGGTGGAAACGTGCCAGTTTATTATTCCATAGTTATTACCTCAGACTACCTGTCATTACTAGATAAACTACGCTGAGAGTGCATCGTACGTGTATGTACACCAAAAGGTCGTAGGCCTACTCTACAAGATGATTCACTCTTGCAACCCCATGCGCGTATATATTTCAGCAGCGCTTGTACTTGTACTTGTACCAAAGATTCTGTACTACCAAGATATTGCACTTCCTCTTTGGGCTTTTGTCCGCGCCGTGGTGCGCCCGCTTTGCCCCTCCGCTCGTGATGGGCTACGTCATTAGGCGACGCGAGGTTGATTTCGTCGCCGATTAAGTGCGGTGTGTGTGTGTGTGTGTGTGTGTGTGTGTGTGTGTGTGTGTGTGTGTGTGTGTGTGTCTGTGTGTGTGTGTGTGTGTCTCTGTGTGTGTGTGTGTGTGTGTGAGTGTGTGCATCTTTGTTTGGGGAGGAGAAGAGGAGGTACAAAATGGTAGGTACAAGCTAAACCTATTGAACGAGAATTGCTGAGATTGTATAACGATATCAAAAATTAGCACACAAATAAAAACAAAAAGAACGGAAAGAAAAAAAGGAAAAAAGGGTTGGGGATAGGTGGGTAGATGAGAAGGAAGAAAAGAAAACTGAAAATCAACAATAAACGAAAACGAGGGAAATTATTTAAGAATTTTAAATAAGCGGCAAGATTTTCACGGATTTAACTCATGTCGTTTGCTGTCTAGTCATTTCATATCGCAACAATGGTTGTAGTTTCGTTGTTAGTCTAGCACGTTATCCCTGGTCAACATCATATTAATCACAGAATTATGCTACGAGAGCAAATTTCTTTGTCCAACTTAAGAAGTGAATGTATTGTGAAGACACACATGCAGTCTTGCTTTACAATTTCTTTAAGACTTAGTGTTACGACAATTTATAACAATGTCTGAGAGATTCAAACTGTCCTTGCCTCTTTTTTGTGATATCAAACAATAACTTCATGTAGATCCACTGTGGAAACCTGATATAACAGGGATGGTGGGACCAGAGAAAACGTCCGGTTATATCAGATCCCTGTTAAATCAGAAATGCAAGGGAAGTAAGCAGTTGTGGACTAATCCAGCGGTTTTTATTTATGGGTAGTTTCTCTTGCCACAAGTACCCACGAACATGGGTTTTGACCTTGTGGCAGGCCTGCGCATGTCACATTACACGTGCGTGTAGCTAGGCTTGGGGCTAGATTGAAGTCTGCAGCACACCGTGGCCCTCTCTTGCTTCACCCGCAGTGTGTGCTTGCAGTGGTGTGGCTTGCATAGGCTAGCTCCATCAACGCGTTACTACTCTCTCTCTCTCTCTCTCTCTCTCTCTCTCTCTCTCTCGCATACAAGTGTACATTAACAAACACCTAAACAAGCACACATTAACTTGAATACTACCTTCCATTGTAAAAAAAAAGAAAAAGAAAACAGAGGGAACAGAAAAAAGAAATAAAAAAGATCGCTGAACACCTCTCATAGATTCGTTGTTAAAACATAATTTCTAAAAATGCTACTTCTTGTCTCCTTCTTAGTGCTGTCTTTCCGCCACACTTTCTGGTAGGAAAGATCTACACCTAGCCTTCTTGGACAAGGGTGAAAAATCTCGGAGGGTCCGTCTGCAAGTTGCGCACATTAAAGATCCTTTGCCTGTCTAAAATCGATATGAGTAAGCTTCGGCCGCCATCGGGCAAAATTCAAAATTTCCTACCAATTGAACATTTTTCGTGTGTCCCTCGCGCTCATATGACCTCATGCAGTTGTGAGCGCCGTTAAACACTTACCCCC